GGTATAAGTACATTTCGAAGACATCTATTTTATTTTCCATGATTGGATCGAGAGTTCAACTTTCACAACCAGAATGAAGAAGATGTAACATGTAATCATATGGATCCTAAGTCCTAAACTTAGATCCGATCTCGTGAAGAACTTCCTCATACATACAAATGTTTTCTTAGCTGCTCGATTCTTGATCTGATCTTTTTAGGGTCATACTGATAGTTCCAAGATATGTAGTTCCAGTAATGATAGTTCCAAGATATTTGAAGGAGGAAACTTATTTTACAGTGGTTCCATTTATAGTCAGCTGAGCATGCATAGCATCTTTGGGAAAACGAGAACTTTAGTTTTTGTGATGAAAAGACCAAAACTTTCACTGCGCTGAACTATGCAGCCCATCATGTCTTGTAGTTCGTGTATACTGTTTGCTAATACAACAGTATCGTCAGCATATCTGATGTTATTTGCTTTTAATGTTGCTTCCTCTAGTCTAACTTCTGCAGTTTGCTGACAGTAAAAGTTTGAGATTATGAATATTTCTTCCCTGTCAATTTCAGTCGCTTTAAGAATTCTTATTATCTTATAGTGTTTGATACAATCGAAGACTTTACTATAATCAATGAATCATGCGAATACGTTAATGTTTATGTTCCTGCATATTTGTGTTAGTACATTCAGGGAGAACAACGCTTCTCGAGTGCACAGGCCACTTCAGAATCCGAATTCGGTTTTATTTAATTCGTATTTCCTATAGATTCGAGTATGAATTATTCTGAAAAATATTTTGAGAATTTTCGACATGAGGCTGATTATGCGATAGTCATCATATCGCGAGGTATGAGCCCTTTTCAGCAGAGTGATAAATGTCGATTTCAACCAATCAAAGGGGATATTTTCTGATATGTAGATCCCCAGTAAACATCCATTGTCGCAATAATATAACACAAAAATAACAAGTAATATAACATCAGTTATATGAATGTTATAAAAATATAAGGTTTATGCGTAACATTACAACAATATATGCAAAAATGGTATTGAAATATAATGTTGTTACACTAGGGCAATATAAAATTTTTTGTTTGTATTACATAATAGTTATAGAATAATTATATAAAATAGCAATTATATTTTTATAATACATTGATGTTAATAATTGTAACATGTAATTTTTCTTATTTTAAAGGTATTTAATAAGGAAAAAATTAACATTGACGTTATTAATAAAAAAGTGTAGAATAATAGGCATAAAAAACTTAACTGACGATATATCAAAGATTTGTGATTTTTAGTTTCAGTTACATACTATTAGTTTTAATAGTGACTTTTCATTTTATTTCTTTTGGATTTTCTTGGATTTTTTAATTTTTCTATTTGGATGAATCATTAGAATATTCTGTTAAAAATTTAAAAGTAATTATCATTGGTTTACTATAACAAGTTGATTATAACAATATTCATTGCATATCGAATGTTGTTGCATTGTTTCAATATTTATTAGTAAATTATCGAACAAACACCAAGTAAATGTTATATAACTGTTATTTGGTGTTCGCTAGAAATGTTATAATATACTGTGAACACTATAAGCAGGGTTAGAAAAGTTATTTTTTTAAAATAACTAGTTACAGTTATAATTCCCCTTGCTGGAAATGTAACTAGTTACAGTTACAAGTTACTAACTATGAAAAGTAACTCGCTACAGTTACAGTTACTTAAAAAGTAACGAATCCTTACTTTTAAATTACTTTCTTGAAATGATTGTAAATTATTATTGTAAATACAAAAAACTTACATTTTAAGCTCTACTAAAATGTAAAAATTGAATTTTATAATTAATATCTATCATATTAATTAGTTTCTCCACTTAACAAATTTCAAATCTGTACTTAACATTATAAAAATTTAATAATAATCTTGTAGAGGTAAAAGAATTTAATCACATGCTCCATAAATACGTTGATAAATTTATTAAATTAATATACGACTACTATATAATTTTAATTTTATTTTACGTTTTCCAAGTAACTATTAAAGTAGCTGTTAAAAAAGTTACAAGTTATTAAAAATGAATAACTAAGCTAAGTTATAGTTACAGGTGGGGAAAAAGTAACTAAGTTAATTTACAGTTACCGAAAAAATGTAACTATAATTGTAACTTCGTTACAAGTAACGAGTTACTTCCCAATCCTGACTATAAGCATACATTATATAAGCATAAATCGTAAGAACATCGTTGGAGTCATTGGAATCAGTGCCCGCTCGATTGTCAGGTTAAGAAACAGGACAGGGATGAGTGATCGGTATACCGCTTTGAGTTCAAAATTATCGAGGGGGAAGATTTGCGAAAGTTTGGAATATGTTTTGACAATCTTCGGTTCCTAGCGGTTTATAAAACATGAGAAAATTACGAATTATTCTTTTTATGAAACATTTATATATATAACAAAGATATTAAAAATACTTAATGTAAATATAACTAGAATATAACTAGGATATAACATCGTTATATGTTATATTTATGAATGAGAAAATATAACTTACCAGTAACTTACTGGAAATACTCATGCAATATGACCTGTAACATTCGATTATATTGCATTTACATAACATTAATATAACTTTGTTTACTGGGTCACATTGAAAAGTGAGGTTACATGATACAGTCCCATTCCTTTCTGGTCAGCTATCAGTTTAACGACTTCAGCATATACAGGGTCCGCCACCAAAATCCGGACAAAATGAACAATTTGTTTAAATAAAATTCTACTCATCAAAATGTAAAACTTACAAAAGAACTTTTTGTGTATCACTAGTGGTATCCTTTTAGAGTAAAATTACTCTATATAACCCCCTTTTGCTTTGATGACTGCTTCGATCCTCATCCTGAAGCGCTGGCACGCTCTCTGCAACGCGTCCTTGTCTATATTGGCGAATGCTGCTCCGATAGAGGTTTGGAGAGATGTCACATTGGGATGTCTCGACTTGTTGGTCACTCGTTCAATGACGCTCCACACGTAATAGTCCAACGGATTCAAATCTGGACTGTTCGGAGGCCAAAATTCCTTTGACCAAAACATGTCCATTTTATCCGACAGCCAGTTTTGCACTAAGTGACTCGTGTGCGCTGGCGCGCCGTCTTGCTGGAAGACGTACGGCTTCCCGGCGGCCACGGTTTCTATCCACGGCTTCACTATCTTCGTCAAAACGTGTAAATATACTTCTTTTGTGACGGTTTCTTTTTTTTGAAAGAAATGTGGCGGCATGACGTGACCCTCACTGGAGACAACGCCTAGGACGTGAACAGAGACCGGAAACTTCGTCCTAGCTATTATGGGCACATCTTCGGGGTCGCGGGCGAGCCAACGGTCGTTCCTCCGGTTCACCTTGGCATCGACAGAAAAAATTTTTTCGTCCGAAAAAAACCTGATGCGTCCCGCAGCTTCGTTTTTTAACGAACACAGAAGCAAGTTACAGCGAGCAACTCTGTTCATCTTGGCAGCTTCAGAGAGCATTTGTCGAACTTTTATTACATAGGACTTGAAGCGTAGGTCCTCTTCAGCAATTCGACGCATTGTAGTGTCACTCACACCCAATGTTTTGGCCAATTTCGTTAGAGACAGCCCTGGGTCCTCTGAGATGAGCTCTTGAGCTCTTTCGATAATTGCTGGAGTCCTTACTGACTTTTCTTTCGAATGGCTCTTCCTTGTCGGGTTGGCAGAACCTTTTTCGGAAGTCTCCGAAGCCAAATATTTAGCCGCAACGTCATATACGGTCGATCTCGGGTACCCGAAGAACCGAATAATTTCGGTCCGCAAACGCCCAGCGCGAAGGCCTTCAATTATCGCCGCTCTTCGATTATACTCTGCATTCGATCTTATCTGTTCGGACATTTTGAGGTTATGCGCACTTACTACAAACATCTGACTTGCCCGAACATCAACAGTGACCTACCACCGAAGTCAAATGAGGCGGGAAATTCAAATTGAAATTTGTCCGGATTTTGATGGCGGACCCTGTATGTTGTCTGGTCCGGTGGCTTTATCGTTCTTTTAAACTTCTATTGAGTAACTTCACTCTTGGTAATTTCTGAACCAGTTATGTTTCTGAGTCATTTATGTTTCCGTCCATTTGGTGGTGGTCTATTTCTGTGGTGCATACGGTCTGTTGTCATTAAAAAGCTCCTCCACATATTCCTTTCACCTCTGAAGCTTTGCTTCCACTCCCAGGATTACTTCATTGTTTGCATCCCGCAGAGTTAGAATTTGTTGTTTTCGGGTTCGATTTGTCATTTTCTTTACCTTTTTGTGCATTAAACGTATCGTGTTTTTTTTGGAGGACTTCGAGGATTTCCTTACACTTGTCAGACACCCACTGTTCTTTTGCATCCCTACACTTTCTCTAGATCTTCCTGTTGAATTCTTTATAGAGTAAGAGATTTGCCTTTTGAATCCTTCTTTCGGCTATGAAGTCCAAAATTTCCGTGGTCATCGATTCATTTTTCTTCCTACTTCAGGGGACCAGATGTCATAAGCCTATATCTCCGTTATGATGGTCTTTATCTAATCCCAGATCCTTTCTATTTCTATCTGTTCTGAACCCTGTATTTTCATCAGTTCACGTTCAAGTCCGGAGCTCATATGTGCTCGCATGTCCGGATTCTGCAACTTTCTGATATCTATTTTTGCGATGATTTCGCCTTTTTTATTTTTGTAAGACGTCACATCCGGAAATTCATGACGATTGGGTTGTAATCGCTGTTAATATCTGCACCAGGATACATTTTTACTACTTGAATGTATTTTTCCAACCCAACTCCAATTAGTTTTATCAGCAATTAAATTAAATTCAGGCATCCTGTATAAATTTTGACTTCAATATGAGTATATTGCAGTGCAATATGTCTTGTAAATCACACTATTGATATGCTGTGTTGCTCAATAAAAATTTTCTGTGTGCAGAAGTTTTTTCGATGTCAAAAAGTAATCACATTTTAACATATTTTTCAGATCGAGACACTTGTGCACGGAGCCGCGACAAGAAGACAAATTCGGAGAGAAATTCGCGCATGTGACAAATGTGACAACGCCACGTCGACAACGCCGAACTAATTAGGGATTCTGCGTAAACACTAATTCCAAGGGAAATCGTTCTCGAAATGTGTCAACTCGAATTTTTGCCCCTAAATAGAATGTCAACGCTTTTGAAAGTATTTCTCTGAAAAACGATCAGCGAATGAGACCCGGTATTCTTTTCGGCGTGTCAACGCTTCGCAGTGTAATTCTTGCAGAAGCGTCCCGTCGGACATCTTCCGGAACAGACTTTCCTCGGCGAAATTTTGGAGATTCCTTTGGACCAGTTACACATTGTTCTCGAGAACGACAGTCTCGGAGTTTTCGTATCAATCGCAAACGGCGACTGAACTTCCTTCCAGAGTGTCTCGCGAGTCAAGAAATTTTGTGAGAATACGACACGATCTACTACTTCGTCACTTCTCTTTATCTTTCGTCAAAGCGCCCTCGGCTATGAACGAATAATTTTACTTTGGCCGCGATAAATGCCGCGTCGGTTACAACGAAATCTCCGTGTCAATTGATAATTACAGTGAGCTTCCTCAGCAGGCTAAAATTCTCGTTCATTCCAATAACAGCAAATGTCCTAGAATCTATCTCTCCTAGAAAGAAAGAATCACGGAAAATGTAACAGAAAAATGTACGAGCCTACAGCATAATTTATAATTTTGAGTGTCGCGCAACGAAAAGATGATAACCGCTGTTTCACGACGTAAAATACACCGGAGTATCTACGGACCGTAAGAGAGATATCACGAGAATGCCAAGAACGAAGACTCAGTACTGATGAAATTTTGTTACAGTCGATGCTCAATTAATCACGCAGGACTATGAAAACTATGTCGCTTTCTATACGACAATAAGGCACAATAAGGCGTACCTTGTCAAATCTTGGGAAGATTTTATTAGCGACGTGATGTGAAAATTTTCCCGTCTATATAATCGGCCATTGGGTGCTAAATCGTAAAAAGCTGGAATGGAGCGTAACGTGATCCGCGGATGACGTGATAGAAAAGCTTAGCCAGCTTAATTCATCGCCGCGCAAACGTACGCGTCCTGACACAATATCGCAAAAAATCACGCTGAGTTATGAACGAGTAATGTGGAATCAAAGTTTTTGACGGAAATTGTCGCAAAACCTCGGTTCCATTAGATATCCTATTATACGACGACAGCAAAACTTATCTTAATAACGTAAAACGTCGTACTCATACACACACTCTCTCTCTCACTGGCTTTCTCTCTTTTACAAATTCTAGGGGAGGACACTCGTCCTCCTGAAGCTTATCCGCCGAGAGCTAATGCGCAAAAACCGCGTCGTCGTAAAAGAACCGGAAATTTCACTACTAAATGCCAACGATGCTTTTAGTAAATGTTAAACAGCACCGAGTGATAGGGGAGCCTGCTTGGCCAAAGCGACAGCAATGCTATGACTAAAATCCTGTGAACGTAGAACTCTCACAAACCGACAACCATAGGACTTTCCCAACTGAAAAATCGATGCGACAATCGACGGCCGTAATTTTTTATATCTCGTCTTCAGCTATGGAAAGAACGAACTGAAGCAAAATTCCTCCGCAACGATTACGTCTATTAAAGCAGAAGAATTACGTCGAAGCTTCGAGTATCGGGGAAAAAGAAAATATTTACCTTCGACGAATGTGCTGCGAGGACAATGAAGTGTCAGCCAACGTCCGCTGGGTGATCGGATTTTACAGTGAACGATCGTACATAAAACGCAGGTGGAAGTGAACTCGGACGTCGCAAGTCTAGTGTTACCGGCATTCACCTCGATTTAACTTCAGCAAAGATACAAAGTATTGCATCGATATCATCGACGGTCATATCGGCGCTGAGAAATAACGCGCGCCGCACGATCATTTGAAGTACGATCATTATGATGAAAGTCGATAAACAGGAAAATGGGCTCGAATTAACAGTTTCCGTAATCGAGCAGCGCGACACGAATAAGCTCATCCTACTCTCTCCTCAACGCCACCCGAAATCGATTTGCCCCCACCGATGTGATTCGTAATTAAGATCGGCCGGATGGAAAGAAAAACGCGATTCGTCGACGCGCAATTTCATGTCACAGCCTGACACGTCGAAATTAAAAGCTTATTTCCTGGCAACAGTCTACACGTTTTCATGGAAAATCGACCTTGAAATAGAGAGAACCAATGATATCGGAAAAGTGCACAGCGATTTGATTATAATCGTGGCAATATCGAAACATGTAATCGCGCCGCGACAGCAGATGGATAAACGATGGACGCTAGTCGAATTTATAATCGCAGCTTTCGAAATTTTTCCCTCGAGTCGTAGGTAACAAAAGAACAAAATTCGAATGTCGCGATGATGCCATCGGCTGCTACATAAAAACATATGCAATACAAAACAATTTGGCCAAGTTAGTCGGCAAGAATATGTGAAAGACAGTAATTTTTTTTTTTCTATTGACGGAAAATGTTCATCTCTTAAACTTTACGTAAAGTTCAAGTTGACCTAAGAATCTAAAGAATCTAAAGATCTTAAATAAAGAAAATAAATCGGTGCGAATCTATTCGACAATCGTGCCGAATCTCTTTATAACATCATTGATGTGTAATCGTGTCAGAAGTGACTATTTATCAGAAATTCGGTGTATCAATATTGAGAACGGAGAAGAGAGTCGCGCGACAGCGTCGCAAACAAGCAATAGAAAATTGCATACCTTGGAGAGAGCTCAGCGTGCTTTAAGACGAGATAAGAAATATTACGACAAAATATTACAAACAGGCAGATGAGCAGGGGAAACAGTTGAACTGGAAAGTGGCTGAAAATAGCAAGTAATCTCTTACTCTCACTCGTGCGTTACAACTCTAAGTAATACGAAGAGACGACGACTAATCCACGATGCAGAGTTTCGACAGCTTATTTAATTCCACACCCTCTCTTTGGAACGAGACGTCGCTGTGGTTTGACAATGACACCTACCACAATGGTACCAATTTCACGGATCTGGAACTACGGAATATATTCGTGCTGCCGTGGTGGCGGCAAATGATCTGGACGCTTCTGTTTGCATTCATGATCACTGTGGCCACTGGCGGCAATCTGATAGTAATATGGATCGTGTTAGCGAACAAGAGGATGCGCACCGTTACCAATTATTTCCTGGTGAACCTTAGCATCGCGGACGCCATGGTGTCCACTTTGAACGTCACTTTCAATTACACCTACATGCTCAACAGCCATTGGCCGTTCGGCACACTCTACTGCAAGATTTGCCAGTTCATCGCGGTTCTCACAATTTGTGCCAGCGTCTTCACCCTGATGGCGATATCCATAGACCGGTAAGTCACATCGCTCATATGAATATAATGCTCTCGAGAGCGATTTTATATTCTTCTCATAAAATCTATATTGTTTTGTCCTTTATAAATCGTAATTTACAGAACGCTATAGCAATACTAATTCAACAACAATAGTGTTCATTATCAATTCCGTTGCGCTAGATGTGAAATTAAAGAAAACGTTCAATAAGCAACATTCATGGCGCTCGTTAATTTTAGGCATTCTTGTTTGGATTTTATTGAATATATGTATGGGAATTTATCAATAATTTATATACTTATATACTTATATTAATTTATTATATACTTATATACTTATATTTATATACTTATGTTAATTATTCCTTTTTACATTTAAGTTCCCATACACCTTAATATTTGATAAAGTCTACACAAGAATGCCGAAAACAGACAGAATATCTACTACTGGACATTGTCCTCTATAGGAAGAAAATATTATAGTAAATATCATAAAAAATTTTTATGATCTTAGACTATACAGAAAAGCCGTACAGAATACCATACATAACCAAAATTACTATATATTTGTTTAAAAATATTACGTATGTTTGACTTTTATTGCAAATTATTGTAATTACTTGAATGTGTTTACTGCTACGAAAAAAAATTAGCTGCGGCAACAAGAATCTGTGTGTAGTAGCAAAATCTCGTTGTAATATGTTGACACTTAAAAAAAATATATAGCTGCTAATAGATATATATTTAACTATAAAACCGATATAGTAAGAATAGTAACAAAAATTATGATTACATTAAGGGGACTAAAAAGGTTTCATCTTCTAAAAATTGAGTGAAATTCGATTGTCGACGAACAAATAAATATACACAAAGTTTGTTTTTTTTAGTTTTTATACATACTTTTAGAAATATAATAAGCGGTAGAAGTTTAAAAAATATTAATAATTGAGTGAGATATTGTTAAATTAAAAAAACATTGTCTTTGTAGTTTTACTACGATTCCAGGAAAATGAATTGGAATTTTTTAATGCGCCAAGCGTCACTTTGAATATAGATTGAACCGAAATAGAACTAAAATCTAAAAAATTAGAGAAATAGCAGACATAAAAACAAAAATGTCTAAAAATTCAAGTTATTTATTGTAAAAGTGATATTAATAAATTAATTTTTATTTGCAAACTTCGGTTCAATCTATGCAGTACGTCTTTATCTTTAATTAAAAAAAAAGATCAAGTCGATAACTTTAACCGTTCTTGAGTTATCGTGGCAAAAATAGCGGAAAATGCTGTTTTGAAAAATAAATGACTGACGACTTCTACTACCGACCGACCGACTGTTCTCGTCTCCTTTGTTGTTACTCTTATATTTATTAGCAATGACTTCCACACACCTATAGCCTTTGTTCCCGATATTAATATTTCTAAGTTTTCGAACCGTTATTACTATTTATTAATTTCTTTTAAATAAACAACATTTACATTTCTTATACTACATGATTGCGCGCGCTCCACTGGCCGCACGCCGTCTCACATTTTTTACTCTCCTGAACTCAATTTTACGAATATCGAGGTTCTTTTTACGCCAATGTTTTCAAAGAATTGTAATAAACAATTATGTAAAAACCCAAAAATCGATTTTTTTAAGATTTCAAACCATCCTAGTTTTCTAACAAATTTTCAATTGCAACAACAAATACATTTTCAAACACAAATTATGATTAACTATGACAAAGAAACTTTTTTTCATATGTAATTACGCTTTTTTAATGTAATGTTTATTTACGTTTTTAAAATAATATTTTTATGTTTTACATAATGTTTTTTATATTATATATTAAGAAGATCTTCAAATTTAATATTCTTTATTAATATTTTTATAGTAATTTATACAACAATTTCAGTATAGTTCTGCTTTATAAAAAATATTATAAGAAATGTATAATTTGAACATAATTTTTATTACAATACAATATAATAGTACAATATATCTTCCTATATTATAAACGAAAAATGTGGATTAAAATATTTAGTACCCAACACTCTGCCAGTTTTCGATATATTTGTGCGAATTTTATCACAAATATTCAGACAGCACTAATTTCTAAAGAAACATTTTAGACATGTCTGAAAGACGTATAAAAAATATCTAAATAAAACAGAAAATCTCAAGAAAAAAATGAATGATTGTGTCAACCAGAAGAATGGTAAAATATGTCATACGCAAACAGAATCAAGTTGACTATTAGTCGATTGTCAGTTGACAGAAAAAGTCTAAAGTCGACTTTAAAGTCAGAAAATGTTAACTTTCAGTCGACTAAAAGCCGACAAATGACTCGACTATAGTTGACCGTTAGTCAGCCAACTTTCTGAAATAGTCGACTCTAAGTCGACTTACAGACAATAGTTAAAGTTGACAAAAAGCCATCTTAAAAAAGGACGGCTAAACGTCGACTTAAAGTTGACTAAAAAAAGTTCTCTATCAGTCGACAGTCATTCATGCTGTGTGGGACAGCTCTTTTTTTTAATAATCTTCAAATTTAATAATCTACAATTCTTGTTTGCGCTGACCTATCGATTTGTTGTCTCAAAAATGTAAATAATTGCAGCAAACAATTTTTATAAAGTCAATAAAAATTGATCATAGCAACAACTTCTTTTTTCAATGTAGACTTATTTAAAACATCTTTAGAAATCTGAGTATTAAGATATATAAGAGTACTTTAAAAAACCAATTACATAATAATCAATAATTAATGAATGCTCATACATCTTGATATTAAATAAAATTTGTACAAGAGTAACGAAAATTGGCACAGAGTGCTGACTACTGAATGTTTAATCTTACCTCGTCATCGCTAATCATCCTGACTAAGCGCAATGTTATTGTGACTTTTAGATGAATCGGATAATCAATAACTTCCAAGATAGTAGCTTTAGTTACCGTGGGCCCTCTTTTTTCATTGCATGAGCACGTTCTAGCATTTCGTGAACGTATTCGTTGAAAAAAGCACCGACTCTCCCCATTTAGATCGATATCCGGTTCTGAGAGGACACATTTCCTCCGATTTATCTAGAAGAGATTCAGAATGAGTAAAAATGAGTATGGATGTATATCAGTTGGACACGGGGCAATTGGACACAGTCCAATCACAAGTCGCTGTTCCAAGGGACCCTACAAATGTCTCTAATCACACGGTGCTGTGATTGGCTGTGTCCAAATGCACCGTGTCCAAGTGCACCGCTCCCAATGAGTATAATATGGGTGCGTCATATTTCCAGTCCACCGATCAGATAGTAAAGCTGATCTTTTATAAAATCTATTATGAGCGCCATTTGTCAAAAAAGTCATCACTTAGAGATTCATAATTTAAGCTACTAACCCTTTGCTGCATGGTGATACTCTCAGAGTACCATCTATTTTTAAAAAATTTTTTTAATTTTTCCAATACTACTCATCTCTACTTCTTTTTTGTAATTTTATCTTGGTAATATGTTCAGCAGTATTGGGGAAGAAGGGATTTTTCTTTATTGTTTGTCAGTTTGTTTATATAAATAAACAAATTTAACTCTTTCAGGCACATATTTTTTAATCAATCGGTTTTTCATGAAAATTGGTATACAGGGCTTTTTTGGATCGCTGATTACGAATCCCTCAGTAGATTTTTATAATCCTTTTCCAAAACGGCGGATCCAATATGACGGCTCACAATTTTGGGAATTTTTCCTCGGTTTTTTATGCATATTGGTATGCGGAGGTTTTCCGGGTCTCTGATTACGAATCCGTCATTAGATTTTTATAGTTCACTTTCAAAATGGCTGATCCAATATGGCGGCTCGAAGTTTTGAGGAACTTTGGGGTTTTTTGTCGATTTTTTACACAAATTGGTATACAGGGGTTTTGTAGGTCGCCGATAATGTCAGATACGTCATTTGATATGTCATCAGATTTTTTACATTTACATTCAAAATGACGGATTTAACGTAACGGATAATAAGGATTATTTATTTTCGAACTTCCATTTTTTTAAATTTTCTAAATAATACGTAGAACATTTTTCGTAAAAGAAACCACTCTCAGTTTACTCCAGAAATATAAATAAGGACGCGGCGGTTGATGTCTTCATTTTCTTTTCTTTTACATTTTTTATTTAAAAAATATTTTTATATTTTCAAATTTTTTTGTTTTTTTTATTTCCTCAACTTTAAATTTTTTCCGTTTTTTTTGTTTTTTATATTTTTTAGGTATTGAAATTTCCCAAAATTTACTGCAAGTTAGTTTTAATATTTATGAATGGTAAGTGAAGAAATAATTATGTTTACACAGGCGTTATGCATAATGGTACATTGCAAGTACTACAAATCCATGAAGTTTGTATTTACTTATTCTTTATATTATATAGAGCACAACGCCTTCAACTATCAATGTCCCATATAGAGTTGTCAGACGTTACAATGAAACCAACATTTGTCCAACGCTACAGCAATCAAATGTTAGCCAAGTTTCTGTCAGCCAGTACTAGGACAGTAATGGTAAATAATTGGTTGCCTTTCTATATAAAGACCAACGCTTGGCTGATGGCTATCATATGTCAACCAAGATTCTGTCCACCAATACTCGGCCAGCAATGGCAAATGACTGAAAATTTATTTACATAAAATGATCCATGTTGCGATAAAAACCAATACCCGATCGACGATTGGAAGCTGTACGTCAACCAAGATCCTGTCGCCAGTACTCGACCAGAATTGGCAACAGACAGGCAGCTTACCTACATAAAATAATTCGGCATTGCAGTGTAGACGTTTGGCCAACGGTTCACATTCATATATCAGTCAAGATTTTGTCAGTAAGTACTCAATCAGCACTGGCAATTGACAAGTTGCTTTTCTATATAAAATAGTCCGGTATTACAACAAAGACCAATGCTTGATCGATGATCGGCAGCCGCATGTCGAACAAGATTCTGTCCGCCATAATTGGGACATCATTGGCAAACAATACTAGCACATTACAGGGAATATGGTGCAATAACCAGTGCTCAGAACTATTAAAGAATAATAAATAATAATAAATTAACAATAAATAAATAATAATAATAAATTAATTAATAATAATAAATTATCAGAATTAATAATTTCATTTATATATTGTTTTTATTTTCTTTTATTTTTGTGTCCATCAAAGTAAGATAATTAATCAAGGTAAGATAATTCATCAAGCTAAGATAGTTCATCAAGGTAAGATAATTTAAACATTGGTGTCTTCTAGTACTTCTAATGTTTCTAAGTGCTTCTAGTGATGTTAATGTCGACTCATCATCCTTTCAGCAACAGCGACTTTGCAACTATTCACTTCATTCTGAAACAAACATGCGCACGGTAAATATCGTATACATTTTCTTCCCGATTATTATAAGATTCATTATGGCCCCTCGCATTGTCTATCTCTTTAATTTGTCTATCTTTTTAATTTTAACGTGAGAAGCGAGAAAATGCATGCTAAAAATTCTCGTGAAATACGTTGAAATAAAAATATATGTTCATATAGCAACACTTGCAATCGATTAAACAAATTTGTAAGATATATATAAAACTTATATATAAAGTTGTGCCGCTGCTAGTGGACTCATGGAAAAGAGACCGGTCTGTATACATAAGAAAAGTTATCCACTTTCAAGCATCGATAGAAGTTCATTCCTCTTTAAGGATTCTGGCCACTCGCATTGTTTATCTCTTCTTAATGACGTCAGAAGCGAGAAAACATATGTTAAAAATTCTTGCGAAATACGTTGAAATAAAAAAATATAAAGTAACACTTGCAATTGATTAAATAAGTCTGTGAAATATTCAGTGCATTCTTGTTTTGCTTTAATAATCAATAATTTATCGTAAATTAATGTGACATACGATTCATCTTCATAACCTATTTCTTCGCATTCAAGTTAATTTACAATACATTATTGATTGTTAGAGCAAAAGGGAAGCATACGAAATATCTTACAAATTTGAATACAAATTTGCTTAATCGATTGCAAGTATTGCTATATGAATATATATTTTTATTTCAGCGTATTTTGCGAGAATTTTTAACATGTATTTTCTCGCTTCTGATGTTAAAATTAAAAAGAGATAGACAATGCAAGGGGCTAGGAACCTTAATGAATCATATAATGATCGGGAAGAAAAATGTATACGATATTTACCGTGCGCACGTTTGTTTCTGAATAAAGTGAATAGTGGCAAAGTCGCTGTTGCTGAAAAGATGACGAGTCGACATTAACATCACTAGAAGCACTTAAAAGCATTAAAAGCACTAGAAGAAACCAATGTTTGAATTACCTTACCTTGATGAATTATCTTACCTTGATGGACACAAATAAAAAAAATAAAAAAAATATATAAATGAAATTATTAATTCTGATAATTTATTATTATTAATTAATTTATTATTATTATTTATTTATTATGAATTTATTATTATTTATTATTCTTTACTAGTTCTGAGCACTGGTTATTCCACCATAATCCTGTACTGTGCCAGTATTGTTTGCCAATGTTCGGCCCAGTTGTTATCCAACGCTAACACCAGTGTTAAACCAGTACTAGGCAATAATCTGGCAACGAATAGTGATACAGTACTGGTACTATGTACCAGTACTGCACCGGTCGTAATGCCTATACTGGGAAAGTGCTGGCTAGTAACGGCTGGACCATTATTATTTGCCAA